ACTGTGGAGCTGGTGTTTTCCTCCTTGGTGTGAAGCTTCCTAGTGGTTGAAAGCCCTATTGAAAGATGAGCCCTGGCTGTAAAACATAAATTTCGCCCTGAAACTTGTGAAACTGAAGCAATGCTGCTTTCAGAGTAAATTTTTAAATTGAATCTGAGCGTACTCAGAAGACCTGGTCTGTAGGAAAGACTTCCATGAAGTATCTTCCAACCGGGAGCTGGCTTTTTTAGAAGTTGCCCTCACTCCTAGAAATGCCAGCTGTTGAACTCCTCCGAAAAGATCTGTGCCTGTTACAGAGCCTAAAGTATTCTGTGCCCTGCTCCTTCACCCCACCTGGGCGGAAGGCACCGTGCTGGGGTTCGCACCCCTCGCCCCCCCCCCTGGCCCAGCAGCCCCTGTCTGCTGGCAGACAGAAATTCGGGGGGCAGCTCTGGGAGCACGACCGGCTCGGGAGCAAAGTTCTGGAGCGCAGTTGCTGCAGCGAAAGGTCAGGGACCTGATGTGCTGAACAGCAAGGAGAGGCCCTGGGCCTGCGAGGAGGCTGCCTGGAGCCCGATTCAAGGCGTAGGAAGATGAGATCTTCCAGACTACGCGTCCCAGTATGCAGTACTACTCCTCCAGTTGCATGCCCCTCCCCCCAGCCCCGCGAGGTGGTGGGCAGCCAGAGCTCCTCTCCCACCCAGGCCAGGGCAGGTGCTGCTCCCAGGCAGTTCTCCGCAGAAGGCAGCGGGAAGGTGCAGACTGTGGGAGCACCAGCCGCGCCAGGGCCTGGGGGCTGCGTGCACCCTTTGGCTATGCCGGATGTTTTGAGACTTGCAAACAGCCTGCTGCAAGTGGTCGCAGGGTGGGAGGGTGGGTTATTGCTGAGTTACTGACAGGGGAACGGGGCTGCCATGGCCTTGCCGCAGCCCGGCTGCTCTGCCAGGGGAAGTGGTGCTTCCTCTTTTCAAGTTTTCCATGTAAGGAAAATGGAAATCTCTCTGGGCAGCAGGGTTGGTGGGTGGCTGCTAAACTTAATCCTTAGTTGAGCCATTTGTAGAAAGTGTCTGGGAAAGGAGAGGTCAGGCTAACCGGGTCGGGATGGCGTGTGGGGGCAGTGGCTTGCAGCATGTGCGAGGCAGCTGAGGTGTCACTAGCCCTTTGGCTGGAGCTCAGGATCAGCCAACACCGGAGCACAAACTGAGCCTTGCCTTTGGGAGGGGAGGCTGAGCCCACGTTAACCCTCTTCCCACGAGGAAGAAGAGGGGACTGAGCAAGGTCTTTTGTGCTCGGCCCTTACCTGGTGCTGTACCTCCTGCATTCCCCTGCACTGAGACAGTGCCCTTTGGGCTACGCTTGCTGGAGGAGCCCCGGGCGTGGGCAGAGGGATGGTGTTTGGGACAGGAGGGATGGTGTTTGGGGCAGAGTCCCCAGCAGCCAGCTGCTGCTCTCCGATGCAGCCTTGGCAAAGGCTGCTCCAGGCTGCAGCGCCGGGGAGCGGGGTGTTTGCTGCTGTGCGGTGCCCTGCTGTCCTCCCGTGCTCTTTTCCGGGGGGCGATGCCGGTGCTGCGGGGCCCAGCCCTGCGGGGCACAGCCCTGCGGGGGGCCCTTGCCGAGCAGGAGCCTGTC